GAGTGATAGGATTTCAGCTAGTGAATGTGGACAGTTTCATACTAGCTTATTTGCTCAGAAAGTCTTGGCTATTCTTTTTTTTTTCTGGTCTGGCATTCCCAAAAGCACAAATAACTAGCTCTAGATACCCTTCTAGTTCCCCACAACTTCCCTGCATAGGCATCACTCTGGAGCATTAAAAAATGGATTAAACACAGCTACCCTCTTCTGTTTGAACAGCTGCCAAGGCACCACTTAGAATTGGAGAGAAAATACATTGACATATTTGAGCTTCTAAATAGAAAAGTTGACAGTAAGGAAAAGGAGGATGATAAGGAAAAGGAGAAAGGCAGAAGATGCAGGCCAGAGCCTACTTGGGTTAATTAGTTGCCAGGTTTTTTTATTTATAAGGCAGTGATAGTGAAGGCTCGACCCCGGAGGGCCTCATCTCTGATTCAATACTTGGACCTAATCTATAGGGTGCACATTGATTACCGAGGTCATGCGTGGTTGCTCTATGATGAATCATTTTGTACGAGGGCGGCGATCTACCCTAATTTACATTGGGACGAGCTCCACCCTGGTCTCTAGGTGCAGATTATGACCCCAGCCTGACCTAGTGTGGGCAACAGGTTTGATAGTGGGCATCTCATCCGCAAGGCGAGCCAGAATTTCTCTCCTCAATGGTCTTTGGTCCATACGGTCCAGCCTCATTTGCTTTGCTGGGAATTTAACTCCTGCACAGCTTGCGGCAGTAAGGTCTATAGGTTCAGGCATGTGTGCTCCTTGTGTGGTGGGCAGCATGCCAGTGCCAATTGTTTTTGTGCCCATGCACAAGGAGATGGAAAGGAATCTGGTGGAAATCGAAAGTAGAATGGTACCACTGGAGCCACTGCCAAAGGGGCCCAGCTCAATTAAGTTAGATGTATTGGACAGATAGTTGTCGGCATATTGTAAGGTGGATGATGCTGAATTCTTGCTGAATAGGTTCAGATTTTGTTTTAGAATTCCTGTTCTTGGTGAGAGAAAAGGTAATTTTGCACAAAATTTAAAGTTGGTTAAAGGTACGGAGGCTATAGTTAGGGAGAAAGTAGGTAAGGAGGTCAAAGAGGGCTGAGTTGTTGGCCCCTTTCAGGACTCCCTATTGCCACACTTTCAAGTCTCCACACTAAAGGGGAATACAGGCTTATTCACCCTCTGTCATACCCAGAGGGTGACTCAGTTAATGACACCATCCCACAGGAGCTGTGCTCCGTATGCTGCACTCCTTTCGACACTGCTCTGCACATAGTCAGGTCCTGTGGGTTCAAGGTGGAGATGGCTAAATGTGATATTAAGTTGGCTTTCTGTCTCCTCCCTGTACATCCTGAAGATTTTGATTTGTTGGGTTTTCATTTCCAGGGGACATTTTATATAGATAGGGCTTTGCCTATGGGCTGTTCCATGTCCTACACTGGTTTTGAGTGTTTGAACTCATTTTTGGAGTGGAACCTCAGGTGCAGGGTGGGTTGTTGGAACACTGCTCATTATTTGAATGATTATCTTTTTTTGTGGTGAGCATGGGTCAGGGACATGTACATTTATTTTGGAAATATTCCAGGAAATGACAAAAGGGGCTACCGTACCGTTAGCCAAAGAAAAAAACGGAAGGTCCATCCACCATGTTGACCTTCTTGGGAATTGATATGCAACTACAGGCTTGCAGACTACCTGATTCCAAACTGAAAGACTTACAACAAAGACTTAGAGAATTATCAAAAAAGAGAGAGTCTCCCTTAAGGAGTTGCAGGAGCTAGTAGGCCATTTGCATAGGCTGCTAATTCCTTGCAGCTTCCAGGTAGCTTAATGCCATTCAGCTGTTTCTTCTGTCTTTCTCACAAAACAAAATAAATGTGAGAGCCTTAATTATCAGTAAGAACTAGAAAAGAACTTGTCAGCACTTGGATTTCTTGATTGAAGATCCCAGACCTCCGGCTAGGTGGAATTCTAGGAGCTATTGTCCGAGAAATATGAAAGCTCCATACCTAGTGATACAAACAGTTATACTAGGCTTGAATGACAACACACAGATTGAATACGTCTGAACATTATGTAACATTGTATAGCCCCGTGCATTGAATGTTGTGTGTGAGCATCAATGAAGTGGATATGTACTCATTAGTTTGGACAAGTATATCTTAGTCTGAACATTATGTAACATTGTATAGCCCCGTGCATTGAATGTTGTGTGTGAGCATCAATGAAGTGGATATGTACTCATTAGTTTGGACAAGTATATCTTATTTAACAAAAATGCAGCCAAACACATGACTTGTAATCTGGGTGAAGTAGGACCTCAGTAAGGTAAAGGTAAAGGTTCCGCTTGACATTTAGTCCAGTCATGTCTGACTCTACGGGGTGGTGCTCGTCCCCATTTCCAAGCCGTAGAGCCAGCATTTGTCCATAGACAGTTTCCATGGTCACGTGGCCAGTGCGACTAGACAAGGAATGCCTGTGTATATATCAGAAATGACTGTACGTAGAAAATTATTCTATTCATACATTTAAAAAGATATGCATGGAAGAAGACCAGGAATTGTGTGCTACTCTGGCCTTTACTTCCAACCATCTTGTGTTAACAGATATTGGTGGAACAAGCTGAATGCAATTACAGTACTATGAGTGATGTATCTATGAGCCAAAGAAGCAAGTAAGGACTGGATTTTCATATTTAAGATTTTCACACAGTATGTGGAATACAGGTTCATCCTCTGGTAATCCCCATTCAATTCCTTGAGAAAAAATAGCCTTTTTCATTCATTTCCCTTGCATACAACTCTATGCAGAATAGGACGCTGCTGCACTGCCATCACTCGATTGCCTCCCAAAGTGTGACTGTCGGGGCTCACCTCCAACTCACATTGCTGCCTTGTCCCTGCTGGTGACAGAGGCAGCAGGAGCAGGAGGTGGAGGTAAAGGAGCACTTGCACATGCTCAGGCACTTCTTGCTGCTGTCCATTGACTGCTGCCACTGCATTGCTTCCTCCAGTGCTCCCTTCGGGCAGGGGACAAGGCAGCGATGAGGTGAGCTGGAGGTGAGCCCCGGGAGACACAATGGAGGAGGTGATTGGGCAGCTGAGGCAGCAGCAGCAGGAGATGGAGGTGGAGGAGGAGTTGTCCATTAACTGCTCCTCCACTTCTGGCAAGGGTCAAAATTAGGGGGATCGTCTTATACATTGGGATCGTCATATACGTTGAAAAATAGGGTAGCTCGGTTTTATCAATGGCTCAGCAATCTAGGTAGGGAAGTAAGGAAGAAGCCCAATTAGTCACCCTGCTAAGAATGTGTTCTTTCTAGAATGCAATGATCTGGGTGAGAGATTCTGTGTGGTTAATAGCACTGCACACAGTACAGTAGACAAATGTAGCATTCTGGCATAACTGTAATCAAACCTTTTCTACACTGATGTATTTTTAACTATGCTTTTAGAAGATTAGGGGATATATAACAAGAGAAGAGACAATATATACTAAAATTTCTGTTTATGCCTATCAGAATCTTATTGTCAATTGTGTGTGCAGTAGAATCAGTTAGTAGACAGTGAGTTAACACTCAGATAAACTCCTTTAGTAATACATAATCAAGAAATTATCCCCAAATATCTACAAAAATACTCTTATTTAACAAATGCTTAACTTTAAGATTACATGCCAGTTTTTCATTCCAAATGGCCGTATTCCAAATTTCTTTATACCATTCATTTAACGAAAATTGAATTGTACTTCCCACTTCCTTCCTATTATTAGTCTAGACACTGTTAATAAATTTGACAATAATTATTTTGTCGTCCAGTTTCATTGCTCCTTATCAAATATCAATAATTTTCTATTTTAGAACATGGCTGTATCTTTAATTTAATTGTTTCCTCCATTTCCTTAAAAATCAAAAGCCAACATTTTAATATATTTTCACATTCCCACCACATATTAAAATATGTACCGACTTTCTGATAACCTATCTAATACATCTTAGGAAAATTAACATCTCTTTGATTTAACTGGAGTTAAATACCACTGCCAAACTAGTTTTTTTTTTTTTTAAAAGATGAAGTTTTGGAAGGGGACTCTGTAAGGGGAAAAATTTTGATTATATCTCAAATTGGCTTGGTGGAAGGGAAGCACATTTGTTTAATTGCATTGTCCAACTGGATTTATGTTGTGAATTTGTTCTTTATGTATTCTTTTTAATTATTATTTGTTTGTATTATTTGAGGAAAAAAAAGAAAGCTCATTGATTTCATGGGTCTATTCTACTCAGAACCAGAAATAATGCTGGCCATCAAATTTCTACTTACACCAAGATGTGCTCTCTCTCTCTCTCTCTCTCTCTCTCTCTCTTTCTCATACAATCTTATTTATAGCTTGTGCTCATTGGTGTTCAGATAATGGATTCTTTGATGAATCCTTCAGGTTTAGGATTTTACGGAGAGCAACCTTGATCTCTTTGTTT